TTGTATTTGCTTCCTCTTTAATTTCTGGAAATACTGGTTATCTTTCTTATATCATGGCTGCCAGACATTCATATTGTCCAAATAGAGTTGCTTACAAGTCAGTCAGTTTCTTTTAACTTGCAAATATCAAAATGTCTCTGAAGTCACTGTAATTGTGCCCTATGCTGGTGATTTGCTAATCTTCTTCTTGTTGTTGTTAATTGCGAAGTTGTGTCCGATCCATCACAACCCCATGGACAACGTTCCTCCAGGCCTTCCTGTCCTCTACCATCTTCTGGAGTCCATTTAAGTTCACACCTACTGCTTCAGTGACTCCATCCAGCCATCTCATTCTCTGTCGTCCCCTTCTTCTATTGCCCTCAATCTTTCCCAGTATTAGGCCCTTCTCCAGTGAGTCCTTCCTTCTCATTAGGTGGCCAAAGTATTTGAGTTTCAGCTTCAGGATCTGGCCTTCTAAAGAGTAGTCGGGGTTGATCTCTCCTAGGACTGACCGGTTTGAACGCCTTGCAGTCCAAGGGACTCGCAGGAGTCTTCTCCAGCACCACAGTTCAAAGGCCTCAATTCTTTGGCGCTCAGCCTTTCTTATGGTCCAACTTTCACCCTTTTAGTACTGTCCATGGGGTTTTCATGGCAAAGATACTGGAGTGGGTTGCCATTTCCTTCTCCAGTGGATCACATTTTGTCAGAACTCTCTGCTATGACCTGTCTGTCTTGGGTGGCCCTGCACGGCATAGCTTATAGCTTCATTGAGTTACACAAGCCCCTTCACCACGACAAGGCAATAATCCATAAAGGGGCTGCATATCTTAGGTTGTTGATATTTCTCCCGGCAATCTTAATTCCAACTTTTGATTCATCTAGCCCTGCCTTTCTCATGATGTGCTCTGCATATAAGTTAAATAGGCAGGGCGACAATATACAGCCTTGCCGGACTCCTTTTCCAATTTTGAACCAATCAGTGGTTCCGTGTCCAGTTCTCACTGTTCCTTGACCCGCATATAGGTTTCTCAAGAGACAAATGAGATGGTCTGGTATTCCCATCTCTTTAAGAACTTGCCACAATTTGTTGTGATCCACACAATCAAAGGCTTTTGCATAGTCAATGAAGCAGAAGTAGATGTTTTTCTGGAACTCCCTAGCTTTCTCCATGATCCACCGTATGTTGGCAATTTGATCTCTAGTTCCTCTGCCTCTTCGAAATCCTGTCTGTACTTCTGGTAGTTCTCGATCCACATACTGCTGGAGTCTAGCTTGTAGGATTTTAAGCATAACTTTACTAGCATGTGACATGAATGCAATGGTGCGATAGTTTGAACATTCTTTGGCATTGCCTTTCTTTGGAATTGGAATGTAAACTGACCTTTTCCAATCCTGTGGCCACTGTTGAGTTTTCCAAATTTGTTGGCAAATTGAGTGTAGCACTTTTATTGCATCGTCTTTTAAGATTTTGAATAGCTCCGCTGGAATACTGTCACCTCCACTAGCTTTGTTGTTGCTCAGATTTTCTAAGGCCCATTTCACTTCACATTCTAGGATGTCTGGTTCGAGGTCAGTGACCATCTCATTGTGGTTATCTGGGACATTAAGCTCATTCTTGTATAGCCTTGATTCATGGATCTTACATTCCAGGTTCCTATGGAGAAAAAATCTTTACAGCATCGGACTTTCCTTTCACCACCAGATATATCCACAGCTGAGCATCCTTTCGGCTTTGGCCCAGTCGCTTCATTCTTTCTGGCGCTAATAGTATTAGCCCTCTGCTCTTCCCCAGTAGCATATTGGACACCTTCCGACCTGAGGGGCTCATCTTCTAGTGTCATATCTTTTTGCCTTTTAGTACTGTCCATGGGGTTTTCATGGCAAAGATACTGGAGTGGTTTGCCATTTCCTTCTCCAGTGGATCACATTTTGTCAGAACTCTCTGCTATGACCCGTCCGTCTTGGGTGGCCCTGCATGGCATAGCTTATAGCTTCATTGAGTTACGTAAGCCCCTTTGCCACGACAAGGCAGTAATCCATAAAGGGGTTGCTAATCTACCGGATTCCAAAAAAACGTGGAGTTCTAGTTTAGTTGTGGTCCCTGACAACGTTCAGGCAGTTTTAGAAACTCAGAGGTTGGTAATCATAGTAGTCTAGGTAATGTTTTCTGCTACCCACCCTCTTTCCCTGATAGGTTCCTTTGAACAAAAAAGGGGCTATAGCAATGGTCTTCAAATTTGGCCCTTTTATGACTTGTGGACTTCAACTCCCAGAATTCCTCAGCCAGCGTGCCTGGCTGAGGAATTCTGGGAGTTGAAGTTCACAAGTCATAAAAGGGCCAAGTTTGAAGACCCCTCGGCTATAGTTTGAGATTGCTCATTCATTTGCTCCTTGTTGCCTGCTCACGGGTGTCAAACTCGCCACATCACATGACGTGTTGCGACGTACCGCAACTCTTTTTGCATTGCCGGCAATGGGGTGGGCGTGGCTTCAGTATGATGAAACCGGCCCGTGGGCTGGCAGTTTGACACCCCTGGTCTAACTAATCTGAGCCTCTGATGACTAAATCAGCCTTCCCTAATCTGGGTTCTCTCCAGATGTATGGGTTTCAAAATTTTCCAGCCAGGGAAGCTGTTGTTTAGAATTCTGGGAGTTGAAATCCAGACACATAGCAAGAGTCCAAGTTGGAGAAGGCTGGAAACCTCCCCCCCCCAACTTTATGTTCTTTTAGACTAAGTTGTGAATGAGAGAGAGAGAAAGAGAGGGAGAAGAGTGAGGAGGATGCAGCTTGAATGGAGAACATGTTTCCTGAGGGCTCTCTGGAACATGGAGCCAGCTTGGCTTGGAAGTAGGACTTTGGCTGTAATTCTTCAGCTGCTTTACTTTCTCTTGCATTTGGTCTCCCTGACACTGCTAAGGCAGCTTCATGAAGCCAAGTACAGTACTCCTGTCTTCTCCCCACTATGTTCTGTTCCTGGCACCAGCCTACTCCAACTTGTGTACCTGTTGAAGATCATCTGCCCCACTTGGAAGGTGTGTGGGTGGAAAGTTAATATTCACAAGGAACTGAGAATGAAAATGGGACAGGGTGGGGAAGGGTGTTCACGTAAGTGTGAGAATGACTATTTCAGACTTCAACTCTGCAGAAATGCTTGGCGTGACTTCAGCTGCCAGAAGTGAGGGAACAGTCTGAGCTGCACTGCTTTTTTTTTGGTAAAGCTAACTCCTCAGGCTGTTTCACAATGTAGGCCCCTGATAATGGGAGATTTAGTCTTTGTGTTCTCATTTATTCACTCTTTTTTTAATAGTGACTTTCAAGGTGAATGTCTGTGGCTTTGGTTGGATGGGAGAAACATTGAATGTATTCTTAACCGTTTAGTCCAGTGGTTTTCAACCTGTGGGTCGGGACCCCATTTGAGATCGAACAACCATTTCACGGGGGTCGCCAAACAACACAGTCCACCATTTTTCCCCCCTTTTCCTTAGCTGTGCTACTCCCTTTTATTCTATTGGCTTTTGAAAGCCAATAGAATAGACTCTCTTGAATAGAGTCTAATTCTATTGGCTTTCAAAGCCAATAGGAATTGTCCAGGCTGTCTCTGCCCTGCTGAGCCCGCCAAAAGTCCCATTCTGCAAACGGTGCTGCACCAGTTGAGTAGTCCTCGACTTACGACTGGTTGAGTAGTCCTCGACTTATGACTGGTTGGGGGTTGCGGCATTAAAAAGGTTGAGAACAACTGGTTTAGTCAGTAAAGCAGCTGGAGGTGGGAAGGATCTGCCCCATCCACCTGCAGAATTTCAAAGCCCGGGAGTAGGACTGTCACTCTTCCTGCTTTGCTGCAGGCTGCTTCCCTGCAGAGAGCAATGTCAGGCTTTTAAATCAGAGGCATAATTGGGAAAGCCTGAAGCCTCTTCCCTGACACCCTGCCTCTGGTTTTAGCAGAGAGCTCTGCCTGTATCTGCAAGCAGGAAGAGATGCTGGCAATTCCTATAGCAAGAGGCCTGAATAAACAGGCCCCAGACAGCCTTCAGCTGCCTCCTTTCTTCACTCTGCCTTTCTTTCTTGGTTTTCTCCCTCCTGGGAATTTTTCTTTGCTCTCTACTTCTTTTGCTTCTGTTGTAAACCAGCCCTTTAGTATGTTTCTTTTAGGTTTGGTAATTCCAGCAGGTAACTTCCCTCAGCCATGCCCAGCATCTTCACTGCTTGTCATGCATAGCATGTAAATGAGCAAGAGCAATGCTGCCATCTAGTGTCCACCCATCCCAAACAGCAGCATTTTGTTTATACTAACAATCCAGCACAATTATTTTTGTATGTGCATCTGTGTACAGCAGCGGTTCTCAACCTATGGGTCGCGACCCCATTTGGGGTCGATCGCCTATTTTTCGGGGGTCGCCAAAGGCGGCGATCCGCCATTTTTCGCGGTGCCGTGCACGCGCATCGCACATGGGGCGCCGCTGCGCACGCGCGTTGCGCGTGCACGTCACGCATGAGGGGGCGCCATGCACGCACGCCGCGTGTGGGGGGGCGTCACGCATGCGCGCTGCACATGGGCCGCCCCCATGCGCGCGGCCCGGCGCATGCGCAGAACGTTTGTGTGACGGGGGTCGCCGTCACACAAACGTTGAGAAGCACTGGTGTACAGTATATAGCCAGGAGAGTTGTGATTACTTTTCCTAACTTCTCTCTTATATTATAAAATGGAAAAGTGTGTGTGTGTGTGTGTGTTAAAGAGAGAGAGAGGGGTGGGGGGTGGGGGGAGAGAGTAGTGTCACTTCCTACACCTAAAGAATCTCTTGAGTTTGTACTTATACACTTATACTCATATTGGTGCGGAGTAAAAGGGAAGGTTGTCTCTTCTGAAGCATAATTGATGCCATCAAACGAACAACTCGTTTTCCACAACAGTTTCTTAAAAACAGAAAACAACCGGAGATACAGCCACAAGAGAAATGGGGAGCTTGGTGGTATGTCAAATGGGAAGTCTGTTTCCTTAATCATTTCTAACCATGTTTTTCAGATCAAGATCCTGTAATTCAAGAAATGGCTGATAACCGTGACAGACCCAAACTGGTGAATGAGAAAGAAGAGGTGGAACAACCACAGATCAAAGTTCCCATGGATATGCCTAAGAGAGAAGACAAGGAGAAAGCAAAGGAGGAGGTACAACTGGACCGGCCTGATCAAGGTAGTGTAGAATTAGCACTTGGAAAGAGCAATAGAGGCTAGACATATTGAAGTCAAAGAAGCAACAGATTCACAACTTGTTGTGATTTTCGGTTCCCATTTATTTGATCAGAGAGCCCTGTAGATGTCACCTTATAAATATGCACGAATTGTATTTCACCAAATGTGTTGCTTTGTATGCTGTTCTTGATTGAGAGTCTGTGTTTCTTTTCCAAATAGGCATTGCACAACCTGTGGGAGAAGCCCATCGCCATGAGCCGCCAGTACCACGTGATGGGGTAGCAGTGGATGAGGGCCAGGACCGGGAGGACTCTGAGCAGAATCGGCCACCGGCAGACAAGGATGTCCTGGTAGAGAACAATGCTGTGGTGGAGAAGGAAGAACCTAAAATTGTTCCCAAACAAGCCGATGAAGAGAATGGCCAGAAAAAGTTGGAAGACCAGCTCGTAAAAGATCACAAGCCAGTGCCCGAGGTGGTGGCACACAAGGACGATCAGTCTCCTCACAGAGATTTCCAGCTAGAAAAGCAGAATGAGAAGAGAGACAAGGCTGTGGGTGGGAAGAACGGTGCCAATTTGCAAGCAGTTGAACATGGCAAAGAAAGGGTAAAATCCATGGAGATGGAAAACGAAGCACGTATGTACTTTTCTCTGCTTCTTTTGGTTCCAGGGGAGTTTAATGTATTGCTTGGTCTTCTGAGATTTTGCAATTACACTTGACATAAATTAGTACAGAAATTGATTTGTGCCATTGAACGCCTGGAAGAACTGCCACAGACAGTTCAAGTCACGCCCAGCCTAATCTGCTAAGGTCTGAACTGGGCTTTTCAGGATTTTTTCAAATTCCTACTGTATCGGCCTGCCCTGTTCACAACTGTTTCTTTGCCACGAGGCTTTTTCCCTTTTGTTTACAATGTCCACCTTGTGCCACACATCCTAGCTTTTACTGAAAGAAAGAAGTCCACTTCTGCAATAAAAAAAAGTGTGGAAAGAGGAGAGGAGGGGAAGAAGAGGGAAGTAGGGAAGAAAGAGAAGAAAGGGAGAAAGAAAGTAGAGAAGAGGGTAGAGAGAGAAGGAGTGTGGATACAGTGAAAGGGGAAATGGGTGAGCAACACCAAAATTTATGTGTATGTATATATTTATTTTATTTTATTAAGAGTATCTGATAGATAAGAATGTAAAAAGAATGTATGTTAATACTTGATAAAATATTACGGTTAAAAAAAAGTGGGTTTTATATCCCAGGCAAAATAATTACGAATTGCTTCGCTTGCAGTTAAAAAAAAAAAATACTTATGTGTGAAATGTACCGATGAATTCCCAGACTCCTGCTTGCCCCGACTTAAATTCACAATTTTTCTTTGTATGGAGGTACCGCTGAAGAGCCGTTTCAGTCATTGCTTGGGTAAGGGGGTGCACTGAATTATATTGGCCATGGCTCTTGTGCAATTCTTCACTTCTTTGCTAAGCATCAAGTGGTACCCCATTTTGGTCATTGGGGATTCAGAGCCAGATCTTGACAGGTGCCTCCTTGCCTAAGTGCCCCATTGCTGAGCTCTCTAGGGCTCGGGCTTGCATTTTTAATAGGCTTAGGCAGCTAGCAGTGGTTTCTTGCCAGCAGGCTATAATGCTGTTAAATATTTTTTTATGACTTTTTCTTCGGCAATCAAGTTGGATAGAAACTGCAAAGAGGAAGGAGGGGGCAGGGCCAGGGGCAGAGAACATCTGTCATTTTCTTCGCTCCATCCAGGAAATATCTGTCCGTTTCTTCTTTTCAGATGATAAAAAAGACGCAGCTTCTTCAGAGAAGCTTGGTCCAGCCCAAAGTGAGCAGAGAGAGGTTCGTAATGCAGAAGACAAGCCTGAGAACAAGCTCGAGGGTAAGCAAGCATTGTCCTTCCTCCACAGAGACAGCACTCACACGCTGCACACGTACACACTGAGGTTACCATCTGCTTCCCTGGCAGCCTTTGGTGTGTAGGTGTTAATGCTATATATGCCTAGGCCAAATTCTTTAATCGTACTATGAAGGAGAAACTAGATAAAGGCTAGACTGCAAGGGCAGGCAATCTTGTCTCTGAGGTGATCTTAGACTGTATGATCTGAGGCTAGGAGCACCAGAGCAATGCTCTCCCGCCATTTTGGTGAAAAGTAAACAACCAGGTCTCATAGAGCCATTTGCTTGTAAGGGAGCCACATTCCATTTAAAACCGCTGCTGAGCGGAGGAAGAGCCTTCTCAACCAGGGTCCCCAGTTCCTCAAAACAGATGTGATTGTATTGGGGGTACATCTGAGTAGGCAATATTTTAAAACAGAGCAGCCTCGCCTCTCCTTTTCGCCCTTTTCTCCCAACACTTCAGAAGTCGCCAGCATTAGGAGAACTGTTGGACTCTTCTCTTTTCAGTCAAAACGCAGGGCCTGCCAGTCTGACAACTTAAACCATAACCTCAAAGCAGGCTCCTGTTAGACGTCCTCAAATTCTTGTTTGATAGATGACTGTGAAGGCCATAGCAGATTTGCTAAAAATAGTTTTAGTCTTGCGAGTTCTCTGGTGTTTTGAATACTCTTATGTACATTTTGTGCAGAAATCCTCCAGGCATATGAAAATGATTTTGTCCCCTTGCCAGTCAAAATCTTCTGATTTCCCTAGACTGTTTGCCAATGGGGTTAATGCTAAGACAAGCTGATTATTACCTTATATCCCTTTTCTCTAATCTGTACCCCTACTGGCAATTAACTTTACATTAATTTCCTCCCCATTGTCTTGATAATGTTTAATGTGTTTATAAGTTGCTAGCAAGAGATCTCCAGGTTGTCGATATATAATTGGTTGTTCCAGAATGTGTTTGCTTCTTCTGGAAAAGAATAGTTCTTTCTGAACTATTGTGTTGTGGGGCCCGAAACTGTTCTGAACTAAGTAATGCCTATGATATTCAATGGAGCACTTGTATTCTAAAATAAGCATTTCCTATTTAGTTTAGTGTAAGCAACAACCAGGACTCTTCCAGTGGGTTGTAAGGACTCTTGGATGCATTATATTTTATGCATGGAGTATGTATGCTAAGAATTAAATGGTTGTGAACTCCGGTGAGAAGAGAAAGATGAAAAAAAAAAAAAAGATATCCCTGTAAGTAAGAGAAAAAGCTGCATTTAAAAGATGTGAAAGCTTGATGAAAGCAAGAGGGTAGATTCCCCCAAATTGATTTCCAGATATGCTGGAATTGTAGCTCCTAGAATTCCTAGCCTTTTGTGTATTTTCAAGATACCATCTACTTCCTGTTTACAATGCAGTCCTTTTAGCAGTCCCAAGAAGGTTCCACACCTGTTTGCACTCTGATTCAGGTGACTTTGAGGAGACAGATGACCCCAAGTGGCCTCAAGGACTCTCAGAGTGCTAACGACCAACACTCAGAGTGCTAAGAATACAAATCCATCCATTCCCCACCAGTTAGAACCAAAGAAGCTTCTTGGATGAGAAGCAAAAAGTTTTCATAGAGGAAAAAATTAAAAAGAAAAGAGAAGAAAGTCCAGTCTTTTTTTTGGGGGGAAGCATCTTTGGGACAACCATGACCTGGATGATGAAGCGTTTCCATAGACAATTTGCCTTCAATACAGTTTTGATTTGTGCCACACATGGAAAATTGTACTTTTCTTGGCAACTGTCTGGGAAGTGGTTTGCCTTCTTCCATCTAGGGCTGTGAGGGACGGATTGACCCAATCTCACCCAGCTGGCTTTGTGCCTAAGGCAAGATTCACAGTCTTCTGGCTTCCAGAATGATTTGCCCTTTTCATGGTTAGTGAGAATTCTGGGAGCTGCAGTCCTAACTCACGGAGGACACCAGTTTGGGGGAAAGCTGCGTATATAAAGTGGCTTAGGGTATTTATACATGTTCTCACTTACTTCCTATTAAACAGCAGTGACCACAGTATCTAAGAATGTAAAATTGATCCAAATGATACCCAAGTGAAAGAGGGAAGACTCCCAGACAGTGAGAAAATGTGGGACCATTCGGGAGGGCAGGACTGCCCCTTTTAAGTCTACTTCTTTCCCATATTTGCTTTACTTATTTAATAAACTAGAACAGGTAGTAAAAAGTAAAATTATTAAAATAACAAAAAGAAGAAAACATAGGGATTCCCATGCCTCTAGCGATGTAGGCGTCTGTATAACCGTATATGAACATAAAGGTGTATTTCTTTTGACTATGTGACTGTGAGAATTCTTTTGTTTTTACATTCCCACTTTGCCTGTTTTTACTTTACATTATGCCAGGATGTGTAGCTTGCTGAGATTATTACTTGGCTCTCCTTTGGGACAAGAGTTCCTTTTCTGCTTATTTGCACAGTATGTTGTTGATCTTCGTGGTGTAGATCAAGAAGGTTTGGAAGACAATTCAGGAATGCCATAATAATGATCCTTTCTGGCAAAGCCTTTCCAGAAGGTGATTGGGAAATCAGATTTCTTGAGGCTCAAGCTTAAGAATGAGCACGTTACCTCTAGATTAAAGAAGCACAGAGTCTATATGCAAATATGGCAGAGACCATAATAGGCATAGGAATCTTCCTGATTTTCTCCTTGAAGATGTGCAGTAGACCACTTGGATAGATTCCTTTTAGCCTCACTTTCTTCCTCCCCTCCAGGAGATGAGGAGAAGCAGCTAGACCATGCCGTCCTGTTGCAAGTGATAAAGGAACAGCAGGTTCAGCAAAAGCAACTCTTAGATCAGCAGGCAAAATTGTTAGCAGTGATTGAGGAACAACACAAAGAGATCCACCAGCAGAGGCAAGAGGACGGAGGCGAGGAAAAGCCAAAGCAAGGTAACACACACATACACAGGTACATACATAAAATATTGTAGAAAGTTGCTTGTGGAGTTGTTATAAAATCTGCCCAGAGAAATGTCCCTTCTCCAGTGCTCTCTACAAGCAATAGGTTAAAAGCTGACTTAATTCTGGAAGCTAAGAGAGCAGCCTGCTTCATGATTTGAAAATACTAGCATACAGTATATACAGTATACTTGGAAATGATAAAGGAGTAGAGAGTCAGTGAAGTAGAAGGAAAATGATATTAAGAGTTTGAGGAAATCTCCATGCATCCCAGCACTTGTTCAAAACTATAGGAAGACTATAAACTATAAAACAGAAGACACATGCTTACATCTTATTTATAATTTCACAATTAATGCAGTAACTTTGGCAGTCAGATGTAGTAGGGAGGTACTGAGTAATTCGCCAAGGGCCTCTGCTAAACTGTTTAGTTAGTGATAGAGTTTTCTAGTTTGCTAAATTGTGTATACAATAACTGAGAGCTCTCCACTTCTCTTTGCAATAGAAATCCAGCTGGAACATGGCCTATCTTTGACCAAGAGTAAAGAGAGAGAAGATCACCCCGACGACAAAATTGAAAATGCTCCAAAGAATATACCAAGTGATAACCTGGGCCATCCTTTGCATCTGCCTGAGAACCAGCCCCAAAATCCTGATGAAATTAAAAGGCAGCAGGCCATTGGTCCAGGAGACTTAAAACATATACAAAACAAATTAACTGAAATTCCCCCTAAAAATCTTATGGCTCAAATAAACGATGATGAGAAAATTGTACAACACCAAGCTAATGCAAACCACAAAGAGGAGTTAGAACCAATCAGGAGTGATTCACAGATAGCTAGGCCTGACGGACACCACCAGGAAAAGCAAGCCAAGGCTGAAGATTTGAAAGGGCAGGAGATTCAAGTGGCAGACAGTATTGAGAAAAGAAAGGAGGCTGTGAAAAGGGCTGAAAGCCAAAGAGAGATACCAGAGGTAGCCAAAATCCATGGTGCCGAGGGAAGGATTCCTCGTATAGATTCTGAGAGTGAGTCCCTTGCCAAGGAGGTCAAAAAAGACTTCCAGGATCCAGAGATTCCACTTAAACCAAAGATTGCTGATAACATACCAGGGAAATTGGAAGTCCATGAAATTGTGAAAGCTGACCAAGGTGGGGAAAGACAGAGGTTACCTTTGGACCAGGTTGACAGATTACAGGGCCAAGGGGCCAAAGGTAAAGAGAGGACGGCCACTGGATCCCATCATCCACAGCTGAGTAATGCCAATGATCAAGGGCATGATTCAAAGAGAGAGCAAAGGATCCCAGAGAGCTTGCATGAAGCTGACAGTGACCATATCTTACAGGCAGACATAGTTAGGCCTGAGTCCAGGGATCATGAAAAGGCCAAACCCAACAGAGACCTCAAGCTACAAGCAGACCTGGACCTACGCCGCAAAAGGCGAGATCTGGAAGAAGAGGAGGGAGGTGTAATATTTGGACTTAACCCCGTCCCAGATGTGAAAGTCAATGACCTCCGTAGCGCGTTAGACACTAGGTTCAATCAGGCAGCAGAAGGTGCCCAGCAAGCCCTTCACAGCCGACAGATTAAACAGATACCAGCGGGAGAAGAAGAGGCGTGAAAGTCTTTGCATTCTAGGGAAATGTAGGAATCCACCAGCTGCTTAAAGGTGTCTGTTATGCAGCTAACTGCCATTGGTATATAACCGTTGGCAGCCCAGGTCAATCTGAACTGAGTCCCAATGACTGAGCATTGTTTGCTCTGGCAGAAAGAGGAATTTCCATGCTGCCAGCCAATTTCATTCTTCAAAAACGCTCTCCTCACTCTGCTGGTAGCTTGTGTGCAAAACCCGAGTTCATCTGTTGTCTGGATTCTGAAAATGCTTTACACTTGTCATCTTTCCAAAGAAGCATGCCCGTTTTTATTCCTGCTCAGATACTTTTAATTGTTTAATTTCTATGTCTAGTGTCTGTTGGCATGTTATTTTATCTTGTTGGAAAATCCCTTTATGGGTATGTGGATGTTACCCACCCTTAAATTAATGTTTGGATATTTGTGTTCTACCATTTGCTAAATGGGTTGATTTGGCTTTTGGAAATGGTTGCAAGAAGATGAAAGAAGTTCTCTAAATGTCTGAAAGGGGAGCATCTCTTCAAAGATAAATTCTTAGGAATATGGACTGGATTGCTAACAAGTGCATTTTTACAGCAACTTACAAACTACTCTGATCTTTTTCAACCAGGTCCAGTATTAGCAATAATAAAAGTAGCCTATTTTTTTTTTCATTTTTGGATATCAAAATGTAGGTCATGTTTTAAAAAACATACCTGTCTTAAGTGCATTATGGAACTATACTGTGCATAAAAGCCTCGCAAGATGCTTGTTTAAATGATTTCAAAGGGGCACCATCAGAGTAGGCTGTCTACCTCTTTCCTCCAGTTTATGAGTGCATATAGGGTAGCTTAAAGCTGTCCCCCTATATCCCTTCCAGTTCTTCAGTCTATTAGTCCTATCCTAGACTTGGCAAGCTTCGACATTTGAACACGATTTGTTCTAGGTGTCCTTAACAGTCCCAAGAATTGTGTTAACAAATGATGCAGCAAATTTAAGCTCTGGACATTTGATCATCGCTAATATCCAAATATTTGGAATTTGGCTATAAACTATTAACTATCAAAGTCAGTTATCAGTTTATTTTCCTAGAACAAGAAGGAAAAAATAATAAAGCGGGTGTTGCTTCTGGAGTGTATGTTGGCTTGCAACATGGAATTGAGATTGGGGAGCGGGCAATGCCATTGTCCCATCTTGCCTGTGAAGTATATTTGTTGTATTTCCATTCAGGGAGACAGAGAAGTGTGGCTGGTACCACTTGACTATTGCAAGGGGCATTTTTCCTTGTTACAAACATTATTGTTCTAACTTTTCCTCAGGCATCTCATTGGTCCTGTTTGACCATCATATTAAACTGACTTTAGGCGATTGTAATAAGCTGTAAAGGGCCTTCAGTTTACTATAATCCCCACCCAAGCCTCCACCCCCCAAAGGTCACATGATGCTTGGAAGTTTGAGCTTCTGTTTTGTTAAATAGTCTCCAAAAGAAATTATGGTCTTTGTGTATCAAACTATGGTTACCACTATCCATTTAGCTGTGACTTAATGGAAGTCACAGTTAAATGGAAACTAGAGATTCCAAACTCCTTGCAAGCCATATTTGAGAATAATACGTGTGCAGTAAATTCATTTTCATCATACTAAACCAGTAGCCAAGCTGATAGTTTGTTATTTTGGACTACAAACCCTATAAACTCAATCAGCATGACCAGTGATGACAGGTGTTATAGTCCAAAAACACTTGCAAGACATCAGCTTGTTTACTCCTGGATTTAATTGTGGCTGGGGGCAACACTTCCTAACCCCAAATCCCCAGATGTTTTGCTATTCTCTGAGTTGGCTGGGCATCTTGGAATTAAAGGGGAGGGTTAATTGGGGAAAGACGAATTTAATATGATATTCCACACGACCATTGAACAGTGCTGGCCAAAGCACAATTAGTTTGTGGTTGGATTGCTGTTACTTCAGTATGTAAATTCAGTATGTAAATATGATTTATTTTATTTTTTGTAAATATCAGCCAAATTGCTTTAATGTGAAGGGCTATGAACGCCCTGTCGTGGTTTCTCTGGCCACAGTATGACCGTCTGCTGTAATCGAAGGACCAAAGATACTTCTGGCATTCCTCCATAGAATAACCCGAGTTTTTGAAACAATCCATCTCCAAGCAATTACAAAGAAAGAAAGACAGACAGACAGAAGGCAGCCCTGGATTTCATCTGGAATTCCTCACTTGCCGCCATAGCAAAATGTCCAGTTTGCAGTGTTGTACAATGACCAGTCCCAGGGATTATGGCTAACCTGCACAAATCCAATAATAAAAAAAAACTGAAGCATTTTAACAGAGCCTTTTTTTTCTTATTGGAAATAGCTGGTTTACACAACACAGGACATCAAAGCTGCTTAGTTGCAGAAAATATACACAGCTGAGGAAATGTCTGTTGATCTTGATGCATTTTCTAGCTTTTATACTCTGGTTTGATTTTGGATGCCACCAATAAGAGCCGAGGTGGCGCAGCAGTTAGAGTTCAGTACTGCAGGCCACTTTAGCTGACTGTGTTCAGCAGGTCAGCGTTTCAAATCTCACCGGCTCAAGGTTGACTCAGCCTTTCATCCTTCCGGGGTAGGTAAAATGAGGACCCAGATTTTTGGGGGCAATGCAAATATATATATATATATATATATATATATATATATATATATATATATATATACACACATATACACACACACACACACACACACACACACACACATTGCTTACTGGTGTACACCGCTTATGGAAAGTGCTTGCACTTAAAGCGGTATATAAGTCTCATAAATAAATAAATAAATAAACAAAACCAGCTCACTACTGTATTACAGAGCTTCAAGTAATCTTATTAATCACCCTGATGACATACATACTGGGCTTGTTCCCAGCTAGAGTACAATCCAATTATTTTCAGAGACATGGTCATAATAAACTGACAGATTTGTAAAAAATACTGATATATGATATTTAATACTTTCATAAACTTTTTTTTTCTTTCCTAGCATTTTTCTCACAAAGGCAGTGTTCCTTCTCCCCTCCCATTTTCCCCCCAGATCAACTAATGTTGGTCCATTGGTTGCGACAGGAATTGACCAATGAACCAGCTTGTTGCCTGAGCTTGACAATATGGGCTGAGAGTGACTGGCCCAAGATCAGCCAGCTGGCTTTCATGCTTAGACGGGACTAGAATTCACGGTTTCCTGCTTTCCAGCCTGGGGCCTTAATCATTAGACCAGTGGTTCTCAACCTATGGGTCGCAACCCCATTTGGGGTCGATCGACCATTTTTCGGGGGTCGCCAAAGAAGGCGATCCGCCATTTTCTCCCCTCCGCTGCACATGCGGCCGCCGCCATGCATGCGCACCGCACATGGGGCGCTGCCGCACATGCGTGCCACGCGTGGGGGCGCCACCGCGCATGCGCAGAACGTTTGTGTGACGGGGGTTGCCGTCACACAAATGTTGAGAACCACTGCATTAGACCAAACTGCTTCCATTTAATATTTTCACAAACATGCATTAATACAAAGATAAACGTTTGTGTTTTGTGACCAAAGTTGCATTCTAGAAACCTACCTAATTGATATTTGACTCTAGAGCTGAACAGAGTTTGACAAATCCCCAAGGCGTTTTAGGAGCATTAACGTGGAAGCTTAGCATTCCTAGCCAACCAAGTACAGCTCTGCCCCAATCTTCATATTGTTACTAGTCAGATTTTGAGCCGTTCTGTGGAACCTTGGCACATATACACAAACACATTTTGGTCCTTAGGCAATTTCACTGATTAGATTCCTCCCCCCGAAAGCATTAGTGAGGAAATTCATATTCAGAAGGGAAATCAAATATTCAGAGTTGCAAATATCAGGATTTTTCTATATACCATAACTGGATATTTTTGGGTAAATGACCAATGACTGTTAGGGAGTTGGCCACTCTGGGCTTTCTTTGCCCCAGTTTTTCAGGAGCTGGAATTAGCAATATAAAGTAGCTTAAGCAAGATCTACAGAGTATCTTATTTTATTCCTGTAAATAAGAAGGGAATTAGTAAATCCTCAGGGCCAAATTGGTACAAGTACCTAATTTAACAGACACTCCACTGATAGGAGAAGGCCACTGGTATATTAATGTCATATTTTACCAAAGGGAACCTGACATATTTGCTAATAGAAATTCTAACATTACAAAAATCTGAATTAAATGGTATTTATGTACTTTCTGGCTTTATACTTCTTGGTCTTGAGCTTTGCCTCTTGCCACTCCGAGAAATTACACTGCTCATCCCATGTTTAAATTAAACCTCCCCCCACACTGAGTCTTACATTTTAAAAAAAAAAGTTTTCCAGAATGTGCTTATAGTACACACATGCATAAATTGAAAAGCCATTAGTTCTTGGCACATTGGGAAATATTCCATTTTTGAATCTCAGTACACAACAGATGGAAATTTTCTTTATTCTTCGTGCTGAAAACAAGTATAAATCCCAGATTTGCCATCAGTATCCATTTCAAGTCTTTACATTCCTTTTTGCCTGCAAAGAAAAGTCAGTTTTCTTAGAAAAAATATTAAGAATTATGTAAATATATTTCTATCAACATATCATGTGGCATAAGGCCAATGAGATTTTGAAATGGGTCAGTTGTCTGCTATCCCTCTTATAATTATAATCCTTCTAGTTAATGTGCAAAGCAAATGTGGGACAGGGTAGTTCACGACTTAACAACCATTCAAAGTTATAATGGCATTGAAAAAAGTGACTTATGACCAGTTTTCACACTTGGAACCGTTGCAGCAGCTCCCTAGTCATGTGATCAAAATTGGGATGTTTGGCAACTGGCATGTATTTGGGACAGTTGCAGTATTCTGGGGTCATATAACCTTCCCAGCTGGCTTCCGACAAGCAAAGTCAATGGGGGGAAATCAGATTCATTTAACTGCAGTGATTTGCTTAACAATTGTAGCAAAAACAATGTAAAATGGGGCACAACTCACTTAAAAACTGTCTTGCTTAGCAATGGTGGTTGTATATCTAAATACACAGATTCTCTTCACTTCCATATTAAGGGGGATAAGCTTGTCCCAAAGAAAGACAGTATTTTAGTAGTTTCTTTCAGAAGTTTCTTTGGTCAAACTCTTTGTAAGCTATAACTAAACGAACAAAATCCCCCGATAGCAGTTTCAGATAAGTAAGTTTCAGTGAAGTCCACATGTTTCTGTCAGGTAATGTGGTTACCAACCCTTGAATTTCAAATACTGGTAGTCCTCAACTTACAGCCATTCATTTAGTGACTGAAGCCATGGCACTGAAAAAAGTGACATGACAGTTTTTCACATTCATGACCATTGCAGCATCCCCGAAGTCATGTGATCAAAATCTGGATGCTTGGCAACTGACATGTATTTATGATGGTTGCAGTGTCCCGGGGGTCACATGATCATCTTTTACAACCTGACAAGCAAAGTCAAAGTCAAGGGGGAACTAACTTAACATCTGCAGTGATTCACCTAACAATTGTGCCAAGAAAGGTCATTAAATGGGTCAATTGTGGTCATAAGCCGAGGACTGCCTGTATAAACAGATGCCTTCTTACAAGTACTAAGTTTTGGGACACTCTGAAAGGTAACGTCCCCCCCAAAAGACTATTTCTTCTGCCAAAGATACAGAAACAAGCCTAAAAGCTGTAAAAATGGACAACAGACAAGAAAGAACAATTCAGTGTGGTAGTCCTGAAAGCAAAGCAAAGCTCTAGCAGCTGTTGATGACATTTACTACTGTACTTCCTTTCAATTTGTAGGTGCTATAAATTATTTGCAGCAAATGTGATCCTCTATTTTTATAAGAGGGAATGGAGAGAACTTTAATGTCCTTATGCCTGTAAAATTAGGATTATTTCCATGATTCCTGGATCAGCTCTCTAGATTTCCAGCTACCAAAAAAATAGAAAAAAGGGCAACAGTACATTTTTTATGTGCCTCTGTATTTATAGCATGTTTTGCTCCTAACAGGCTCCCAAATGAAAAGTTAAACCATGTGAAATGAAAAACAAAATGCAAACAACTTACAGCCTCTGTGAAGCAATCCATCAGCATTGCAAATTCCTTGGCACATACATCCTTTTTCAAGTTTCCATGTTCAGTAGTATTGGAAGCCATACATTTGCCATAAACTGAGGCCTGTAAATATCAGCTCTAATTAGATGCAAACTGTGCAAGGCACATTCAAACTCTGGTAAACCCTAAGCAAGTTTTATCTTTGTAGGTCTTCATTGCAGTAAACACCCACATGCTTAAGAATACAAACAATACTTAAGAATATACAGAGACCTATATTCTTTAATGTCACAAGGAATTAGTCAAGTAAATACATATGTAATAAATATTATCTCAATTTTAGGATATATGGAATTTTACTGTTGCCTATGAGTTTTTTGTTTGTAGCTTAAAATATTTTCATAAACAACAAACATTTAATAGTCCCTAGGCACTGTGTTTATGAGATATCATAATAATGTACTATTCTGGGTGTGTATTTGGTTTTTCCAATTTGTTCCACTTTGGCTTTTAAGCCATGTAGAGCAGGGGTGTCAAACTACCGGCCCATGGGCCAGATGTCTCACACAAAACTGCATCCACTCCATTGCTGGCAATGGGGAAAAAGTCACAATATATTGCGACACGTCACGCGATGTTACGAGTTTGACACCCCTGACCTAGAGATTTCTAACCACTGCCAAACTTTACTCAAACAAATAGGATTAACTCATACCAATCTGTCTTATTCAGATCTTACAAGACAGTTCATCCTGGTAGCAAAGACAAACTCTGCAGTGCTCTCCCTTTAAAAAAAGGAATACATATAAATACATGCCTGCATGCAACAGTCCAGAAATGGACAGGATCCTGAACAGACAGCAGTCATACCTTGAAGGACTGACTGACTGACTGAATGACTGACTGTCTCTCTCTCTCTCTATCACACACACACACACACACACACAAACACACACTTATTTACATGTAATGACTTTAAGCTCCTCACAATCCATAAAAAAGCCGATAAAACAAAAATACCCTTCCCTTTAGGTTCCAGACCATCTTGGGCCAATGTTTACAGGAATAGTAAGCTCTTCGTGACCCTCTGGAAGGTTAAGAGTAGGAATCTCTCAGATAGGAGGCTATTCCACTGTGGTGTATCTTTGAGGTCCAATCAGCTGACAACATTTAAGAGAGTGAATCTGGACTTGACCCACCGTAACCTAGTGGGATGGGCAGAGAGAGGCAGTTCTGCCAATAACCGAGCTTTGGGCCATAAACAGTATGTTAAAGATGATGATAACCAGCACTTTAAATTGCATCCAGAAAGCAACTTGGAGCTACTGCAGCTGGCACAACCGTAATGTTGATCAGGTACAGGGCACCCAAAACTGTGTTTCCCTGCATTCCTAACCAGTTGCAACTTCCAAATGGTCTTCAAGTGCAGCCCTATATAAAGTGTTTTGCAGTAATCCAAATGGGAGGTGACTAAGGTATGAATGAGTGCAATTGGTGCACAAGATTAATTTGTGTAAAGTCCCCCCCCCAAACACAGCTGCCACCTTCTCTTCCAGGAGGGCCCCTAAATGTTACCCCATCCAGAGTCAGAAATGTCAACTCTGGTCCAGTGGGGGAGACACAAAGACCCACAACCGCTCTGTCTTGCTAGGGTTGAGTCGCAGCCGGCTCCTCCCCATCCAGGATCTTACAGCTTCTAGGCACTAAGTCACCATCTGAACAGCATCACTTGCTTGGCATGGAAGAGAAGTATAGCTGGGTATGAACTGATGAGCCCAAACCCTCTGCAGCTTAAATTTATACGTCAATGTTTTTCAAACTTGTCAACTTTAAGATGTGGTGGACTTCAACTCCCAGAATTCCCCAGACACTATGGGGAGGTCTGGAACTCCATAGCTGGGGAATTCTGGAAGCTGAAGTCCACACATCTCAAAGTTGACAAATTTGAAAAACACCAATATAGATGTTAAATAGGAGGTGATCAAAACTACCTAAAACTCTTTTCTCTCTTCCCGCCAGAGGAGCTTGACCCATCTAGCTTCTTTCCTATTATATTATATTGTAATAATAATAATAATAATAAAGTTGGAAGGGACCTTGGAGGTCATCTAGTCCAATCCCCTGCTCAGGCAGGAAACCCTACACCATTTCAGACAAATGGCTGTCCAGTCTCTTCTTAAAAACTTCCAGTGTTGGCGCATTCACCGCTTCTGGAGGCAGGTTGTTCCACTGGTTAATTGTTCTAACTGTCAGGAAGTTTCTCTTTAGTTCTAGGTTGCTTCTCTCGATTCGTTTCCATCCATTGCTTCAGGCGCCTTGGAAAATATTATATTATATTATACATTATATTACATTATAAATTTAATTAATTATTACGGTGGTGTGCCATCAAGCCATTTTCGAGTCCTAGCGACCACACAAGCAGATTTTCTCCAGGACGGTTTCTCCCTAAATGCTAAGTGGGTGCCGGAGACGGTGACTCTTGCTGCCCCTGCAATCGGGGATGTTCAGCCCCTTCCGTGCCCCCTACCTGCTCCCCACAACTCGCCAACAGCTCAGGGAAGCGTTGCACCCTCGCTCGGACGCGTTCCCAGACTGCTCGACTGGACATAGCCGGAAGGAGTAAAAATCAGCCTCCTTAGCTACCGGCTGGACGCGGCCATCAGCAGGGCCATCTTCTGCGAAGCAGCACTTTTCAACCGCCCTTCACCACGGTCCCGGAGCCGGGCCTCAAACATGACCCCGTTTCCCGATTGGGAGACGGCTTCACGCTCCTTCTCCCCTGATTGGGTCCCGTTCCGCACCAGAAGCTTCCGATTGGATGGGAAATGGAAAGGTGCGGGTCTTGGCTCTCGCCGTTCGCTGGCGACGTCCGATGACGACAGAGACAGCTGTCTGTTGAAGTACGTGATTGGCTGGTTCGAGGTAAGGTCGCCGTTCGATTGGAGTATCTGGCTCCCGGAAGGCGGATTGAAGCGTGTGGCTGGATCCGGAAATCACCATGGCGGCTGTACCTCTGCGAGATCGTTTGAGTTTCTTGACTCGGGTAGCGTGACTAATATGATATTGCGTAGGGACGGGGTGTCTGGGGATTTAGAGTATTAATTTACCCTAAAATCTCTGCGGGAGGGTGGAGGTCAAGAAGTCAGATGAAGTTATGATTTTTTTCTAGAGATGTATTAGATGCTTCAGTTCTTTTGACAGCTTTACACTTCAGCAATATAAGGCAGAGAAGAAAATAAATGTCGTTTATTTTATCAATGCAAAGTGTAGACTTGGAGCTTGTACGTTGCATGCTGTGCAACTGAAAAGGCTTGCAGAATCATTTCCCATATAGGCTTGTTTGCTTTCAATAACATCAGGCTACTACCGGTAGCCAGATAGTAAGTTCAGCAAGGCACAACTAACATTAAAGTTCCACTTAGCACTGCAAACATTGGATGACACTTACTTGTAAAAAGAGATGTTACCAGCTGCCTCAAAAGTTACCAGTGATAACTTCAAGAGATGTCACAGCCAGTGTGCAGAGAAGTCACATTGTATTAGGTTGCTTGAAATTAAGTAATCATTTAAGCATCTGGAAGCAAAGGAGATAATTTTTCTTCCAACTGTGTTTGGAGGCATGTTTTATTGCAGGTTCCAATCTGGGTTGATCACCAGGACCAGAGGTGTACAGGGTTTTTTTCCCTGGTGATCAACTCAAATTGGATCCTACAGGGTTTTGTGGGGTTTTTTGCCCTTTTTGGGCAGAAAAAGTACAAGTTTCATTCTTTTATTATACCAACTAAAATTAAAGACTTGTAAAACATAAAAGACTTTTTTCTACAATCGGGGTATGCCATATTCTATTACAAAGTATGAGCTCATATTAGATATTAATGCTCTGCCTTATTCATGGATTAGTATCAGGGAATGAAAAGATCTTGATGGTACTATTAGCCTACCTATATTTTCTCATTGCTATTTCTCTTTTTAATTTCTATTGCCTCATAGTGCCATTGATTGTTGATACTAACCATTATACATCAGGAAGAATCCAAAGTGACTTTTCTTTGTATCTGTGTGTTCTTTTCATCAGTTACCCACTCTAATCAAAGGCACCTCAGATGATGAAGTTCCATGCCCAGGCTATCTGCTTGAAGAGATTGCCAGTATCCTTTGATCTTTAGAACAGTCGTATCATTTCTGTGTGATCTATTCTTGAAATCATTTTAGTTATATAGTACTCACTTTTGTTAATAGCAAAAATGTATGGCTATAACAAAGCCTAATATATTTAATGATCTGGAATCTTCCAACAGATTGGGAGAGTAGTACAGTAACTATATTTGTTTTCAGTTGTATCCCCCCATCTCCTTAATTCCATACCTATATATTGAAAATCCACTGTATTAAAAAAAATCTTATTCTAGCAACCCAAGAAATTTAGGACTTGGGAGAGAGACCACAAATGTTTGAGCGATTGTTGTCTGTCAGTTCCTTTATTTTGATAACTCTTTAACATGACAAACTTCCAGAGATCTCCCATGAATCAACAGGAAGCAGTCACTGTCTTATTGAATACCTCCTCAATCGTCTTCAGAACAACTCATGCCACATCAAGCTGAAGGTAAAAAAAGTGGTTTGAAAGAATGTGGCCAAAGCCCACATCCACACTGGAGCAGATATCCTTAATTTTGAAATAAAAACAAAGATTTATACTTTTAAATCTGTTTTCACAATCCCAACTTAGCTTCTGCATTCTTAGGTGCTTAAGATCCTGCTCTATATGTGCACCCATGGCTCGTCACCTTTCCTTCTGCAGCTTAAGAGGAATTCTTCATTCATTCAGGAAGCCATAGGTAGGTCAGAGATTCGAATAAGAATAACCACATCTTCCTAATAATAGCTATATAATATCCATTCAGCACCTGTATGATCTCAGTAGACTTTATAGCAAACTTGTAAAAACAGCAGCATGGTTAATGTTATTGTCAAATATTACAACTGAAGGGTTTGATACTGAGAAAAGATTGGTTTGCCTAAAGCTAGTTAGCAAGTTTGGATCAGAAAATGGCTTCTTGATTCACTGCTGAAATATAACTATTAGTTATATAAGGGAATAAGTCCCACTGATCACCTGGGTTAGGCATACATGGAAAAATGCTCCTTGACACTACACTAGAAGCAAATGGGAGAACACAATTTGCCTCTCTCCAACTCTTGTAATCAGTAGTCCACAAGGGGAACAGAACTGTCATTGTGCTATCAATTCTAAATTATCTTACCCTGTCAGGAATACTGCTCCAATAAAACAAACATTTTGAATTATTTTAATTTTTCAGATAGGTTGAAGGTGTTGCTCCTAGTGGACTTTGATGTTTGATGTCTCTCTTGCTCTCTTTTTCTATTTCTTATGGCATAGGGAAGAGGGGGATGGAGATGGATTGGCAACTATTTCTGGGTATTGTAGTTCCTGCACACATTTGCATGCATAAAACCTCATTTATTCTGCATCAATATGAAAGTCACAAGTGATCTTTATTATATCACTCTTTTTGATTGTGGTACTAGGATCCATGGTGGCGCAGTGGTTAGAATGCAGTATTGCAGGCTAACTCTGCCCACTGCCAGGAGTTTGATCCTGACTTGCTCAAGATTGACTCAACTTCCCATCCTTCAGTAAAATAAGGACCCAGATTGTTGGGGCTAATATGCTGACATTGTAAACTGCTTAGAGAGTGCACTATGAAGCAGTAGATAAGTCCATGTGCTATTGCTATTACTTTCTCTGTCAGGGGCATGTTTTGTACTAGTTGTATGCAACTTGTTGTATAGGGTATTTTTCATTGCCTGCAAAACAGACTCAGCTGCTTTGGTTGATGCAGTTGTTGTTTTTAGGAGTCTATAAGGAGTGAAACCTATGCAGGGCACGCAAGGATTCTGCTCTTTCACTGCCTCACCATCTCTCTCCTTTGCCTTGTAGGATTCACAGGGCCTCCTGATCCTCTCCATGGCAACAGCTTGTATCAGAAAGTGCGGATGACTGCACAGGTGAGTGACAAGACCCAGTTGTGAGATCTGGATTCTCTGAAAGCCTACCATATAGAAGGGCTTTCTGCATGGCCGTTCATCACATTGCCTTTTGCTTGCCTCTCTCCTTGTAGGACCTGGCAGGTACTTTATTTTCAGATGTGCTGTTGCCTCAGTGTGTTACTCGCCCACCTAAAGAACTGCCTTCAGCAGGTAAACCAATAGTGCGAAGATAAAACTGTAGTGCCTGTATAGATCCCCTGCATTACCTTTTTTAATTAAAAAATATGTAATTTTATTTTCCTTTTTCTTCCTTTTTCCTCCTTTCCTTCCATGCTAAGGTGAACATGATTTCCTGGGCCTGAATAACAGAGGGAAGAGAATATTACCTTTGAGAATGATACTGTCCAATTACTTCTGGTCTGGGGGTGTTGAACCATCTATTTTGTCTCTTTCAAATATTCTGGAGTAAAGCCACACATTAGAACCATAGCAGAATTATAATTCTAGGCCAAATTATTGGGGTAAGGTGAGAGCAATTTCACTGTAAAGCCACTTACAGCAAAGCTTCAGCTGAATTGAAGGAACAGGAAAGCCAGCTGGGTGACTTTGGGCCAGTCCCTCGTTCTCAGCCCAACCCACCTCACAAGGCGGGTGTTGTAGGGAAAATCGAAGGAGGGAGGAGTATTAGATATATTTGCTGCCTTGAGTTATTTATAAAAATAATGGTAGGATAAAAAAGAATAAAACTATTTTCATCTGATGCGGATAAAGTGGAGAAAAGCGTGTGAGCTGCCTGCAGCAGCACCGTGCTGGATTCAGTCTTCTTTTGTAAAGTTCTTTTCATGTCTCTCTCTTCCTAGGTATGGGAAATAGGTCTAGCCCCCATGGCTCTCTCGAAGGCTTTGGTTTTGAAAAGAACAGCTCTGGTAAGCATTGGGTTCAGGAGCTGAAGGGACATGACTTCTACAATACCCCCAGGTCCTTGGTCAAGAACCCTCTGCCTGCCTCCTAGTCTTCTGCTTCTTCTACCTTGCCTGCAGAACTTTGCTATTCATCATATTCAGAACCTTTCCTCTCCTGATTCGTAGCAAGGATCCGGCAGTACTGCTGGAGCTCAAAGCCACTCTGAGCACTAAAGCAAGTTGAGCTGTTCAGAAGAAATCAGTTGAATAAATTCCCAGAGCTCTTGCGATTTCACCTGAAAATTCTGTAGTTTGGAAGGACATAAATTTGTTTTGTTATGGAGCAGTTAACATATGCCAATGCAGGTCTAGCAATATAGGACCTAATCTCAATATAGGACCTAATCTTCTTATTTTGGACTCTGTGACTTAGCCCTTCTCTTTTCTGAACAAATGGATGCAAATTCATGGCCACTGGAAGTTATTTCTTGTGTCTGGCGTTTTTCTCCCTTATAGTTAACTTCCCTAATGTAACACGACATACACTGAATCTGTATAAATGGTTTCCTTTTATTGCTTTTCCAGTATCCCCTGGCAAAAGTCTGCTGGCTACCATCCAGAAGGCAGCTGAGGTGGTTGCCAATGTGGTGCTCCCTGGTCAGGAACTCACCTGTCCCCCTCAGAGGGAGCTGGCGGACAATGTCTACGAGCCAGTGATGGCACCTTTTCCTGGCACAAGCCCTGCCTTGCTCACTAAGCCACCGGCAACCCTAGCCAAGAAGAAGCGAGGTAGCAGACATCTTCCATTCAGTATACGTTAAACCTTTTTATATCTGGCTGGTTTTGA